TATGTTTTTTCATATGAAATTGAAATTATGCACAAGCATATAGGGGGGATGGGTGTCAGTCCAAGACGGATCGGATCAAATACAGGAGAACTGTGGTCCAATAGTGAAAGATATCTTATCACCAGACAAATAACGCATTTGGTCTACTTTGCTCCGGTTCAAATGTCACTTCGGTCTATTTTTCTTTAGTATCGATAGAATTCATGGAACCAAGGACTAGACCATATTATATTCGATTCAATGGGGTCCGTTCTAAATGTTGGTTTGATCTGGTGTGGTCTGGTATGAACCACCCTATTGTCCACCCCTACAAGCATGTGATGCCTTATTACACTAATCAATTATTAATAATTGCAATTATGAGGATTCGAACACAATACCCCTTTGTCAATGACTTCATACCATTTAAAAATTATGAGAAATTATTGGGTACAAAACCCAAAACGGGAAAACCTACAAAATCCCGTATCTTATCATGACTCTTGAGATGATTTCGTATCTTGATGGTATGATTCGTATCAAGGATGGTAAACACACAATATTTTATAGTTTTTGAGTATTGTACCGTAACCTAGTCGGCTGAGTCTCAATAACTTTATTAAATTATTGGAAGAGACATTGAAGAATATATAGGGTATCAATTTCTTTATCGGAATGGGTTGATCAATTGCACCGGCCGTCTCAAATTAAAGTGGATTTTGGGCAAGTGAAAAGGCATGCATCTGCCTCCTTCCTGGAAGGAGACCTAGCTTAGCTATAACTATATCTTGGCCCCATATTTGAAGAAAACTAAAACCAACAGTGAGGTCATTCATGGAGTTATATATATACACACATAAAGTTGAACTTGCTTTTACATATACCTTTAGGGGTTGCACTTATCCTAAGCTATCCGAAAGGAATTCCTGCAGAAAGGGAATGAAATATCTAGAGAATGTTCTTCATCTCCTCCATGCTAACCCATAACCCCAAATCAAAAGAGTAATCCTTTTAGAACTGCTAACCCTTGCATTGATGAATCCAACCTTGACAACTCATTGTACTCGTTAAACCCGTGCATTGTACTAAATAGAGTTCCACAAGCAAGAATCTCATCCTAATCCATTTTCTTTTTGCTCCATATATATCCAATCTTTCCTTTAATTTACTAACCTCGTTGAAAAAGACTCTATTTGCTGCTTTTGGCAATGTGTATCGGATCTTCTTACATATTATTCGCAGCCATTATTTCTCTACAGGTTTTAAGAAAGAACAGATCTAGCTAGGACTGTTATCCAGATATTGTCTTCCTGTTGTGATTTCTATAATAATATTACTGTTCCTTTTTTGTTCTCTTTTCAAACCCAGAAAAAGGAGATCGAGAACCTTATCTCATGTAACAGTTATGGATTTGTTTATCCGTTACATTCTTATATGGTGTGCTCTGGTCGTCATCTGAATTAAAGAGCTTATATAATTAATTAAGGTTAAGTGTAATGATTAGGATATTGTTATATCCTTCCAGCTCTTAGTGTTTTGCTAATGATTACAAGATCAGTATATAAATGTTATCTCCAAATTAAAATAGATATCGTTCGACTGTTTATCATGATAAGCAACCTCTTTTTGAATGTAAGAAAGGGCCCAATTAAGTATCACATCATATGGGTTATGTACACGGTATCTAGGACAACCACCTCTAATATTCTAGTTCTGGTGGATGGTTCTAGTTAATTCCAATCAATCAAGATGGACATCAGGCATAATAATTATAGTCCATAGAGTTGGTCAAATGGTTTGTAGGATGAAGATCAACGAACCCTGTGTTTGAATCTTAGGTCAATTCATCAAGAACTCGATATTGGACTAATAAGAAATTATGTAAAATAGTGTGACGACTCAGATTACAAAGATTCTTGCCAATGATGATTTAGTCTAGTAGTACTATATATAGTTAGTTTTAAACTTGAGAATTAATTTCTTCATCATGAAGGGTAAGGTTATGGATTCTGTTAGAAAATTGGGTTCGGTTCGAAAATTGGGTCTCCTCGATCAATGAAGTTCCATAGTCAACAGCTATGAATGGAGCAATCTTACGAATCCTAGTACGTTGAGGTTCATGTGTTAAGACTCCTCAATAGGAATTTGTCAAGAACCAATTGGTCGCAACAATTCGAATTATTTGGGAGAGGTTTTATGCATGTATATATGAATCTTAACCACTTCCTTATACACCCTTTAAAACAAAATTCAATTTATGGGTTTGAAGTATGCACATAACAGTTATACATGTGTGTTTTAAATGTACTGTTAATATTGGTGGGGCACGAGGACCTGAACACGTCACCTCAATGACAAACCAACTCTGATATCGTGTCATAAACCACTTGATCCCAATAACTCGAATTGATGGATGAGATTCAATTATGGATCTTATATCATTTACTAACACATCATCACGTCAAACAAAAGTTGGGTTTGACGTTTGCATCCGAATACCATGTGCTTAACACATGGAGGTCAATGGAATTCCGGACAAAAGTCATATCAATCACAAAAAAGATTCTTATATCATGTCAAGAACTAGTCGGTTTCCAATAATTGAAGTTGTTGGAAGAGTTCTATAGCTTAACTACGGATTGTTTCCCAGATCAATGAGCACCGGCGGATCCAGGGGGTGGCCACCCCAGGCCCCGGCCCAGCCCTCCTCTGGATCCGTAGTTACTATAGTCCTTATGAAATTTTTGATTTTAGACATTTGGCCCATTGTTATTCTATGATAAGATTGGGTTTAACTAGAAAAATTATCAAGTTGAACATATTCAAATCACTACTCTAAATTTAGGTTAGAAATTTTAGCCCCAAAGATTATGCGTCTTAAAAAAACAATGAAACCTAAAATTCTAAAAAGTTTAAAACGTAAAAGACTAAAAGAAATATGAGGTTTGTTCCCTTAAAAATTTACTAAAGCAGTTGGTGTGCAGGGATGGACACACAATGCAAATTGACTAGTCGATTGATTTATCTAATGTTGATGCTGCTCGTTTCAACAGCTACTACGAACGAAGAGAACCTTTTCAACAATGAAACAAGTGAGAACTGATTTGCTCAACAAATGAGCGATGAATTTCTCGCCGATTGCTCAAGTATTTTATTTCAAACATTGTATACTATTGGTATGGATGTAAACTTCATTATTGATGCATTCCCTAAATTAAAATACAGTCGTGTACAATTTACATTGCAAAAAACTATAATCATTATATTTTTTTACGGTTCTAATTTTCTAATGAAATGCGGCCCAGTGCTCTTCTGTGTTCTGGATCCGCCGCTGTCAATGAGGTGGGCACACTAATTAATTGATGACAAGTTGGTGGCTTGGTGGTTCGTGACAAGCAAGCCGCATTGTGTATAGGAGGGAACACAGGACAACAGAAGAGAGAACTAATTGAGTGTGACAAGCTAAGAAAGAAAGAAAGAAAGAAAGAAAGAAAGAAAGAAAGGAGTATGCTAATGCTGGTTCGATTTGGAGGGCCAGAGGGGGATAGGCGGGCATCTTGCTAGTTGGGTACGTACTCCCTAAATTCGATTCCCAACTCCAGAAATAAAAATCGAGTTAGGGGAGTTGGGGCGTATACAGATTTGGGTGGTAACCCATGCATAATCTGGGTATCTTTATATTTGACATATCTAAACGAATAAATCAACAGAAGAAAAAGAGATCCCAGCCATGCCAGCTGATGAAGATAGATGTACTACAGAGTCAACTGTTCATCAGAATTAATTAAGTGTTCTTTTGGTGTGCAATCAGAACCAGAGAATTGATGGCTGGATAGAAAAAAGAGGCCCGATCGACCAAGGGGCATATACCCTCCATGGCGCCAAGTTGCTGAGATGCCCAGCCCAGTCCCCCCACAATAATTTGCAGGAAAGGAGAGACAAGGGAAAACCCTAGCTAGGTAGCAACCTTCCTTAGCTTGGTAGTTATTTTGTATTGAGGGGAAAAAAGTCCATCGATCTAGTTACGTTACGGTTTTGGTTGGGCAGGCTGCTTTCTAACTAAGAAGAGTCTGATTCTACCACATGAGACGACATGGAAGTAGGGAGGCAGACCTTATCCGAATGATCCTGTTCCATCCCATGCAGAAAGGGTAGAGAGCAGCCAAGAAAACGTGAAGGAAAGAAACAAAAGGCTAAAAAAGCTGACAAAAATGGAGGGAGGGTCAAAAGAATAGGATGGGTATGGGCAGGCGGGAAAGGTGAAGGACGCGTGGCGGGAAGGGGATGGATGGAGGCCAAACTGTCCACTTGGTGGCAGCCCACAGCACCCATCTGTCAATTCTGACTGCGTAAGAGATCACATGGCCCTTCCCTTCCCCCACACACAAACACAAACACAAACACAAACAGAAACAGAAACAGAGCACATACCTCACCCATTTTCTTTTTCAGGGTATGAAAATAATTAAAACTTGATCAATTCTAGTAATTGGGTTCAAACAAATGAAATGGATGTGGTTAAACCACTGGGTTTACAATCTAACTGTGGTTTCTCTCTTCTTTGATGGGAATTCATAACATGTGTTTTGGGGTGCTCTGCTTTTTGGTTAAGTTGCAGCCTGCAGGGGAAATCTAAGCCCGCCTTATATATTCCGAACTTTATATTTTTCAAACTGAATCAACTAAAGCCAGGTCCGTTGAAAAGAATACGGGGAGAGAAAATGAAAATTTTATTTTCAGGAAAAGGAAAAGAAAAGGCCGGCAAATTAAGGAAGGAAGAGCCTCTCGTTGGAAAGAGAAGGTGCCCTGTTTTTTTTATTTTGCCGTTTGCTTTTCTTGCCTTTTTTGGGGTTATAAATAGCAGCCAATTTGATCAGTTTTACTCATCCTCAACACCACACACACAACCCACAAAACACATTCACAAGCTACCCCCAGAAATTTCACGTGCTCTGCTATCTCTCCCTCCCTCCATAGCTACCAACCAACCCCTCTCTCCCTCTCTCTCTCTCTCTCTCTCTGCCTCTGCCTCTGCCTCTGCTATTTCTACCAAAAAAAAAAAAAAAAATTTGGCAGCAGTAGCCATCTTCTTCTTGTGTTGGTTATTAGCGGTTGTTTGTTAGCGAAATCCTTATCCTGTTGGTGTCGGTCGGTCAGAGTGGTCGTTGGTGAGGTTACTGTTATATAACTGTCCATCAAACCACAGTCAGATAAGGAGAAAAAGATACCTCTTTACTTTCTTTCTTGTTGCTATAAACAAACCCATAAAAGCGCTAGCTAGCATGGAAAGCAAGAAGCAAGTTGGCGGTGCTGGCTCCTCTTCTTCTTCCTCATCTTCCTCTTCATTGGATCATCTGTTCGGTCCCAAGGATTCCTCTTCTTCTTCATCATCTTCCTCCAGCTACTTCGGCTCCATCTTCCCCCCTCCTTCCACGGTAATTAAGGCTCTTAATTTTGTTCACCAAATTCACTACTTTAATTATTTCAAGGAGTTCATCACACGCTAACTAATTGATGATGAACTTCTACCCCTTTTTTATTTGTTGTAGATTATGGGAAGGGACGGTGCTGGTAGCAGATACGGCGCAACCACTTCTCCTCCAGCTGGTATACATTTCTCCATACGTCTACACATGCAAAAAAAAAAAATTAAAATTAAAAAAATTAAAAACCATCATATAGAAATGATTTTCGTTAATTATATGAAATGACAGAGAATTACAACGCCCGTTATGGAGGTGGAAATAAGGACCAACACGGCGGTGGAAGTGGGACGGTGGAGCCGTCGTGCTACTTCAGCTCATCGATCTACTACGGCGGCCAGGAGAATTACTCCTCTTCTTCCTCCACGCCTCCCCACGCCAGCTCCTCCCTCGACTCCGCCCGTCGTAACACTGCTACTACTGTGAGCCCACTAAACAAGAGCCACGTGTCTAGTGTCTACGTTACTCTGTTCATTTCTCTTGTTGGAATGGTTCGTTAGTTAATGCTGTCTGATGTCTGGTTGACACGTGTAACGTAACAGTACAAGAAAGACGGTGGAGATAATGACGACCCAAATGGCAATAACAACTCTGCTTCCAGAGGCAACTGGTGGCAAGGTCGTACCCTTTTCCCATGACTTTTCCATGCACTAGCCATTAAGATTTAAGATCAGTAATTGCGCTATGTAAACTATATATATTAATTAACAACATGATGATTTTCTTATCATGCAGGTTCGCTTTACTACTAATCTCTCCTGCTACTACCCCATAACTCGGCACCTATATGATCTAATCAAGTCTACCGGAATAAACGTTACGAAGATGGAAGTGTTGGATTTGATAGTCATGACTATATATGTGTATGGAGCCTTGCTAGTGAAGATCAGTCAATATTAGTGGAAGCTAGAGAAGTGAGAGAGACAAGTAGTGGATCGATCAGTCAATATTTGTTGGGTTGTTTTTTTTTTTTTTTGTCCCACCAAATTAGTTGTAGTAGTGTGTCTGCTGTGTGTGTTCTTTTTTAGAAAGTTCTGTTGTGAAATCTAATGTACTATATCGATCAAACAGTGACGAGGTTTGCCTTTACCGGCTTTTAACTAACTTCATTTTGCTCGTCTCTTGTACTTCCGACTCACTTTATTCTGATACTGCTGCATCACTGTGCTTTCCAACCGTTCTAGCTAGTTAATTAAAGGTTTCCTTTCGCATCACTGACTGTCTTCAAAAATTCCAGACAGTTATTTGTATTTGGGGACACAGCTGCACTACCAAAGAGTATTACAGGAATCCTACAAGTTCACTTCACTTGAGTTACGCAAGGGTATTTGTCTTTCAAATTTAGTGAAGTGCAAACCGGATAATTAGTTACTTAATTAGAAGTTGAATTATAGAAATACCAGTGATTGTCATAAACAAATTGGTCCTAATAAGTAATAACTCGTAGGTCTCAAATGTAAGTCAATTTATGAACTTGAAATTTGCATAGCACTGCATACCATATGTATTAAAATAATGGTTAATATTAACGATTGTGAGAACTTAAACACATGGCCCCAAAGACAAACAAGATTTTATATCATGTCATCAATCAAGTGGTCTCAATAATTCGAATTATTTGAAGAAGCTCGTGTAAAAAATTTATCATTATATTTAGCTTCCCTCAATATTTAGCTTTAGAAAGTGGTAGGATGGTTGCTTATCAGCTAGTCTCATATTAGGCTGCTGTGATTTTTTACTTCTGAGGCCAACTCACACTAAATTCTGATTTGACCACAGAACAAATAGCATTGTGATGCAAAAGCTTAAGATTTAAACGGTTAGCTTGGTGAGTATATATAGGTAGCATGAACATTTAGTTGTTTTATCACTTAACAACTTAGTGCATAAGTAAGAGAGTAAGAATTGAGAAAAAAGAAGGTGCTCTCCAGGTTTGGTAGACCTCTCTGTCACAAAATCGCACGTGGGGTTGAGGTTCCTGGGTTATAAAAATAGAATTGAGAAATTTATCAACCAGATCAAGATTTGTTGATCATATTTTATTTTATTTTGTCATTATTTATTGCTTATATTTGAACGAATAAATTATAGGTTTAATACACTTGTATATCCAAAACTTTCACGGTTGTGTCAATAATATCCAAATTCCCCGAAATACCACTTATATCCATGTTTTAAAGTTGTTCTTTGCCAAATCTATCCATTTCCCAATGTATTTTTGGTAAAATACATTTGTATATCCAAAAACACCGTTAAAGAATGTGAAAGAATGTGAAAGAATTGGATATAAGTGATATTTCAGGAAATTTGGATATTATTAGCACAACCGTGAAAGTTTTGGATATACAAGTGTATTTAACCTAATTTATATGAGGCGCCGTGTTGGACCAAATATATAAGTCCAACTATGTTGGCGGTTACAAGGCCCAATGTAAGTGGACACCACCATTGGGCCATACTCGGCATGAATGAAAGAGGTGGCTGTAACTTGCAAGAATGATGCTTATTGCTTACCCCATCTGATTCCTCAAATTAACATTTTGTCAGGAAATATTAGGATGAATGTTGATCTGTGAAGTGTGGTGTTTACCAATTCGAATTCAGCAGGATAATCACATTCATCCGTACAAGGATAATTTCTCAACAAGCAAACCAACCAAACTAGTTCTTGACAAGGACAATCTGTGAAGTCATAGCTCAAATCAGCAGTTAAGGTCAAGAACTGTCATGGTGTTTCACAGTTTAAGCTTAGGGGTTTAAAACTTCATTGGATTCCATCTGATTCACTTTTCTAGTGGCCTTACCCAAACCAGAAAGCCAGCAACAGAGGCCAGATATGTCCTTTCCTGTTAGTTAGGTTGCAGACTTGCAGAAGCCCTCAACAGCCACTAGCAGAGAGTTAAAATCAACCAAAAACATGACAACAACTGCACAAGCCAGCCCCAAAGCAGACATTTTTACTTCTTATGATCCAGTCATAATTCATTATTTGGGATAGGTCTGGATGTCACAGTAGTAGTACATATATGCTTGAGCTAGATCAACCAGCAAGCAACAAATCTGTAACACTCCAGTACATTAGCACCACTAGGTACATTAAAACGTTACACAAAGTCACAAAGGTCACCATAGAGTCAACACTTCCAGCACCATAACTTCAAGGCAATGTATAAGCTGCAACATCAAAACAAACGAGCCAACAATCAAATTCATCGCATATTGAAAAACAAAACCGATCAAACGAGAAGGAAACAGAAGGATTTCATTTATACAGCAGAAAACAAACTAACCTCCGCACTTGTAACCCACAGGGCGGTCAGCGAGGTTGCAGCGCTTGGGGGATGGACATGGCAACCTCCGGCTTCACGCCAGAGCTCTTAGCAGTGTTGGAGAGCATCACAGCGCAGAGGCAAGCTGGGTTCTGGCCCAGCTTTTTCACCTGAGCACAGCACTGGCTTGAAACCGCAGCATTCTGATCCTGTGCAGCCGATGCACAAGGAACCAGCTTGAAAGCTTCCCTGTCAGGGGTGGTGGATTTCCCACACTCCCCTGCTCCATCCACAGCAGCAAACCCAGAGATTCCCAGAAACACAGCAAACACAACAAGGCAAATGCAAGACTTCATTGAGACAGCAGCCATTGTTATTTTCTCTCCTTTTTTCTTCTCCTCTCTTTCTAATTTCCTTTTCTCTTCACTCTCAAGTACACTGCTGCTTGTTTGCTACACGGTTAGAGCTTGTAATCGTTGAGGGGTTTTATTTTATAGAGGACTCGATGGGAATGAAAATTGCTAAGATGCTTACACGTTGAACTCCATAAGCATCATAGTGGAGATAGCACTATGAATGGGGGTGAAAAAAAAACTTTTTTTTGCTTAATTGAGCTACCTACTGCTTTCCACCATGGATTCTAGAACAGCATGCGTGGCTTTCTGCAAATTCTTATTAAACTAGCAATGGCGATCACTGCAATCCGAAACAGCTTCTAATCACAAAATGACAGCATTTATCAATCGCCCCAGCCAGACCCACATATCATCAAACCCATATCCAAATTCAAATCCTTTCACGCTTCTGCGCAATGCACATAACATGTTCGATCTATTTCCCCAGTGAAACTAAAAGGTAAAACCAGAGAGAATAGATCACGCCTCTGGATCTAAACCAAAAGGAAGAAATCTAACAACAAAAGCGGCACACTACTAGCGAGTAAAAGCGTAGAGAACCAGGGAAGAGTAGATCAAGATAGCAACGGGAACAAAAATCACCAGAGGGACGACTGCGGCGTAAGTGTGGGAGCTGCCGCAGCTCAACGTCCCGAGCTTGAGTTGAACCACGTTGACCAGAGCCAGCATCAGAAACACGCACCCGAAAGCAGATCCGATGCCGGAGATGAGCATTCCGATCCGGAGGAGGTTCTTGTTGACCTGGCCCAGGAACTCGGCGGGGAGATGGAAAGGGTTGTTCTGGGTGATGGAGTAGCCGGGTGTCCGGGAAATCCGGATTGCCTGCTTGAGAGCGAGCGCGACCAAGCTGGAGAAGAGGAAGCAGCTGAAGGAGTAGACGTGGAAGGAGATGAGAGCCTCGCCGACGCCGCGGCCGGCGGTGCAGGCTGGGTCGGTGATTAGGGTGTCGGAAGGGCTGGTCGGGTTCCAGGCGAGGCCGACGAAGACGGCGAAGGTGAAGAGGGAGTTGACGTTGACGATGCCGTCGAGCGCTGTTATCTGAATGCTGGTCACCATGGTTGCTTGCTGGTTGAACGGAGAGACGGAAAGATCGGAGAAATGGAAGCGAAATATTTGCGGTGGTTGTCAGAAGATTAATATTCGTATTAGTTAGGACTTAGGGTAGTTAGGTGACAAGGCTTTTCTTTTGTCGCTCGTAGAAATAGGAAGTTCGAACTTCGCCGTTAACCATCACAAAAAAAAAAAAAAACGCCGTTGCCGGGGATCGAACCCGGGTCACCCGCGTGACAGGCGGGAATACTTACCACTATACTACAATGACCTTGATGTTAACTTGCATTCCGGTTTATTTTAAAATTAAATAACACACTAACTTTGCCCTTTCTTGAAACAGAACAGAACTACAGAAGGAATGATTTATAGCTAATAATAACAATTTTTCAACTCATGTATTGTTTTCAGTTTTTGAGAAACTCATGAATCGATGGATTCTATCCGAATTTGTATTTTGGTAATTGGTTTGCTTTCTCTAAATGATTATCGAATACAATTATCATTGATTTGAAAACATTAGTAAGGGTGACATTCCAAAGGCCATATGATCCATATACATCATTTTGGTATATCTTTGACTTTTTTGTTATTGTAGTTTTTCTAATAGATTATTTACATTTACAAAGAGATTAGCCGATTGTCTAATGTATAACTTGCATTTTCTGCCACCTTATTTTCATGTCATTAATGTTTTGAATATTTTATATTGCTCAATAAACTTTATAAAACTCTACCAAGTGATTTCACCCGCCATCATATTATTGGATGAGAGAATTTGTATTTACACCTGTTTTCATAGGAAATTTTTTCGGTTAAAATTCTTTCTTCTTTCCTAATCCTCTTGTATTGATCCCATCACCACTAACCTTAAGTGTTTCATTTCTTTAATCGTTAGGCTCCATCTTCAATGATAAAATGTTTTCCACCAAAACTTATATAAAAATTGCAGACTACCATCTAATGTTAAATTGGAATTGGCGAACACACAGTCTCATTAATCATAACATTTTGCAACCCCTAATTATTTAGGTAATTCAATTAAATGAACATTTACTAACATCAACGGGCATTTGGTCTAGTGGTATGATTCTCGCTTAGGGTGCGAGAGGTCCCGAGTTCAATTCTCGGAATGCCCCCAATTTCTTTTTTGGTTCACAACAACGAATAAAAAGTACCTGGTTGTGTTAAAGGTTACAGGCCTTTTCTGTTTTGCACAAGGAAGGAGATTAGGAGAAAGGTAGTCGTAAAACAAATGAATGAACGTTCATACAACGGTAATTGTGTCGATATAAAAACCCATACAACGAAACTCAAGCATATTTCCTAAGATGATCACAATCCTAACCCCAATCATATATTGGAAAGAACTCAAGATACACTATACTTGGCGACATTCTGCTGTGGTTTGTTCTCATTCTGGCGTGCCATGGAGATCTTCTCGTGAGATCTCCGTTCTACGCACGATGATGCGTCAGTTGTGTTGCCGCAGACTTTCGATTTCGTGTCAACGCCAAGATAATTTGTCAACACCCTCTTCACTCCAAAGCCACGGCGTAGATTCCGATTAACATTGGTCGTGGCGGCGATGGTATTGGTGGTGTTCACGAACGGAGTCCTCTCCCCTCTTGCAGGGCTGACAAGGGAAGCAGCAGGCGAGAAGCTTGGCGTGCTGCTGACACTTGCTTTGTATGGAGTGCCAAGAGAGAACGGGATTGAGAGCTTCTTCTTGTGTGAAATCACACTCACTGTTGCCACGGATGAGAGTTTGTTCTCTGAGCATTTCGTCAGATCATCTACATATAGCAAATCGTCGATGCGGGCAACGATGTTGAATGCCAAGCTCTCCAGTACTCTTGAGTAGCTCTCAAGTATAGATTTTCCCACATCCTGGAAGTGTTGACCATAAAGTTAGAAAAGAGTTCAAAGTAAGAGATTGAGTAAATGGAAGTTCGTCCTTGATGGTTCACCTTGTTGAATTGGATTTTGCTGGTGTCTAGTGTAGTCTGAGTTAGACTAGGAAACCGCTGCTTCAAGGAAAGCAAGAGGCTTTCAGCTCTTTCTGCAAGCAATTCCCTCCTGTTATCGCCATCAATCATCAAATCCTTCACCATTTCCCACGATGTCCTGGTAGTGGACCGGTTTTGGAGTGTGGGAGGTTTCGGGTGATGAGCTCTTCGTCGCCATACATAAACTGCGGATTCAACCCGGTTCGCAAGGTCCAAGGCAACGTGTTCAGAAGAAAGGTCAAGGCTGTCGAGCAGGCAGTCAGTAGAGAACTGATCTGAAGTGATGTACCGGTATACAAAGTCTCCAAGACAAGCTCTCCCATTCTGTGAAATTGGCAAAAGTCCATTTTTGAGTCGTTGCCATAGTTCCAGGTCAAGGGTAAGCTCTATCATTCATTTGCTTTAAATTTGTGTTCATACCTTGGGAAGGGACTCCAAGAACGAGTCAGGAACATCCATTTCGACTAAAGCAGTGGCATTGATCGCCAGTGCAGCTTTGAGTATCTGATTTGTGCACTCACGAGTGTGGTTCAGCTGCTTTCTTGAGTTGTCACTTAGACCACCAGCTGGAACTCGTGGCACCGGTAGCCACCACTTGTCCTCTTGCCGCTGAATCGTTTTTCTGAAGGAAGCTGAGCCATCTGCATCTGTCGCTACAATCCCTTGATCCACGTACCAGAACTCTGTGTCTGTGAAACTGTCTAGCACTTCCTGTGAAATGAAGGTGAAAACAATAGGATTGAGACTCAGGCGACGACTATATGGGTTTAGGGAAAAGCAGATTAAGGTAAAATCAAGGAATGTCTGTCTTACAAGAAGCATATTGTCAAGCTTCCGCAGAGCTGGGAGATTGATGAAAAGGTCTGATCTGGGTCTGCAAGTCATGACCTGTAAATGGAAGGTAATGAAATTAGTAGACACATCCAAAGAGCAACACTTCTTCCATTGATTAAACTGGATCGTTACGCTACAAATTTGAATTTTAAAATTAACGTCACAATAAGAATTACCTCAAGCTTACTGCCGTCAGCATAAGTTTGCCAAGAAGGAATTAACTCTACGATGTGATCGCCAACACAGAGAAGCACTTCGATCTCCCTTCGCCACAATGATTTCTTTTCAGGAGCTATTGGCTCAAGCCTCCACAGTTGCCCAAACACAGAAGCTACAAGATGCAGCATGCGAAATCCCGGTAAGCAAAACGCGAAAAGGAAAGAGCCTACAAAAAAGGGAGAGGGAAAGAAAGACATACCACAGAGATTGGTAATAGCATTGGAGATAGCCATAGCTGTGCAAACCCCTTTCCCAGAACCTGACATGTCTTCTCCAAGCAACAATTTTGCAAACCTCTCCTTCATCAAATCCGCATCTACAAAGAAATTCAGACCAAAGTGTAAAATGGGCAGGAAAAAAGTTAATCAATTATGCAAATCAACTCGGAGACCACCGTAAAAAAGGGGAGGAAAAAAAACAAAACAGAAAAAGACCAGAAAACCTACCAGAATTCCTGGAGTTGAGCTTGTTTAACTTTGAATCCTCTAACCAACTACCATTCTCCTCATCTCCTCCAATGGCACCGCCAGATGACAATAAGCTCTTCCTCTCTCCAGCCTTCTTTATCGGCCAACCCAAAGGAGGCTTAGAAGGAGAAGAAGGAGAACCACACGGCCCAACACTGCTCCGCCTTCCCTCAACCTTGGAGCTCAATTCCCCACAGCTGATACTGCTCACCGCAGCAGAGTCAGACCCATCCCTCCTCTTCTCAATTCCCCCGCTGCCCTTCTTCACCACAGTCGCCATCCCTTCAGAAATTTTCAAAAAGCAACAATCTTTGGCAACCACCCCAAAAGCACAGATTCGTCAAAGATTCAGCTCGACCATTCTTCAAACAGTTGGCGAGCGCAGCAAAGTGGGACAACACCAGCCACCACTAGGATCCGTTTTCGCTTTCAATTGCTTGCTGCTGATGGGCCGGTGCTAGCATTTGAGAAGGCAGATGTGCGGTGGGTCATATCATATCCCAATTTGGTGACGGAAAGGGGAATTCAGACTCCGGTTGGGGTTTTCTCTCAGTATGGTCTGGTGTAATTCTATTCCCTTTGTCGCTTTCTCTCTATCTCTCTCAGAGTTATGGCTGGGACAGAAATTTGATTTTGAAGTTGGAGAAGAAAGTGAAGAAGAAAGGACGGGTGGTAGTAACTGGCAGAGGGAGCACATGCGGTTGGGTGAGATGGCTTAACGTCTCTCTGTGTTGTGTTGTCCGCCTCTGAGCTTAGTAGCTGCTCTCTCAACTGTGGAAAAGAATATTAAATTTCAAATTTAATGATAAAAAAAGAAATTCAAACTAGGTGGCTGTGGCCGGCCGGACAGCGTCGACGGAAGGTGTTATTACCAAAGTTGCGCTTTTTCCCCCAAACCCAATAAAAAGTGAATTGATGAACCTCGTAATTCCTGGTAAATCCTCGCCTGTTTCTGCTATTTAATGATCGATGGGTGGAAAATGTATTACGGGGTCGTTTGGATGAGGAATTCTAATGGATCAATCTGATACAATTGTCTCGTTTGGATTGCTGAAAGCAAAATCGTTTTTCGTACATCTTGTGTTGACAGAACTACACAATGAAATGGTGTTACTACATGCAAATGTTTGGTAAAATAACTATTTTTGCATCTTGCCCAACTTGAGTTATCGTCGATGGAGAAAAAGGTCAACAGGAGGAAGTATTTGTAGCTGAAGTGATAACGTAGTTGTCAAGTAGTACCCAAATCTCTTTAGTTTGTATTTTCCCCCTTTGACATGTACTTTCTTCAAACCCAAGTTTTTCTTCTTCTCTAAACTGTAGAGCTCAACTGATGCATTGTAGCCACTAAGGTGATTAGGGTTTTTCAACACAAAAGTGTTGTTAGCATCTGCCCAACTCTGCACTATGCTAGGTTGCAGGCAAAATTTGATGTGATTGTGATTGTTGGTTTCGGCTAGAATGTTGAGGTCCCGTGCTAAATGTTAAGGCCCCTGTACACCCGTAAAATTTTCTAAATACTAATTTCGTTCAAATTTTGTGCATTTTTAGTGTTTGGTGGAAAGAGAGTTATCAACGTATCTATTTCAACGGTTGGGTAAAGTGATAGTGGATCAGTTTCTGAATTACAACACAAATGAGCAACATACGAGTTTGGTGGTGTTATTAGATTGAAATGTTCTACTCTATCATCTTCAATGATTTTAGTATTTAACCATTTCTTCGAACTTAAGGTGTCTTGTTTTTTCTTATGGGATCGATACGGGATACTTCTTCACCAACTTTGAAGTTGCATTCCATCCCTTTGAAACCTAACTTACGGCTCAATATAGATAATAGAAGACTAATTTTATTAAATAATATATTGTCAACTGGAACTCAGATTGATACCAACCGTTTGCTTCTCCTACTATTCAAAATGAAATAATTGGATATGCACAAGTCCAAAAAAAGAGGTGGCTGCTCATCATCTTTATACTATCGAACATTGATGACTCCGTGAGAAAAAGCTTCAGCGCATTTGAATCAAGGGAGAAAAGGTTGCATGCTAGTGCGGCAGTGCCCACGAAAAGATCCCAAGCTGAGAAATTATTATCCAATCGTTATTTTTGAAATTGAACAATTAGGAGAAATATGGACACACTTTTAATCAAAAATATGGTATTCGATCTATAATAATCACTTTCGAAAATTCACTCATTTTTGTTGTTAAGGACAATCAATCTATTACTGATGCCTCATTACTTCCATCGCCACACACACAAAAAAAAAAAAAAAAAGAGCACCCCGTTATTCCACCTAGATACCTAGGGCCTGCTCATCATTTTTATATGTGTAGTGTAGGCCAACTTTTCTCAAGGGCAACGAATAAACTTTTTGTCTGGTTGGTTAGTTAATCAATTTGGTATAGCAGTTCAAAATTATTTGTTTGATTTCAGGCGGCGGTTGATTGCCGTCCATACCCTGTTGTTATTATTATTTTACTTTTCAACTCTGACCTCTTTTCAGTGTTGTAATGTTGTTTTAGAGTCCTAACTTTTTTTTCAAAAGATATCATATATATTAATCCAAAAGAAATAGATAGTTACATTTTGGAAATAAGCCAGGTCCGAAAATTAAAGACGCCACTCATAGTCGGAGACAAAGAGAGGGCTTTCCTAGCTACCGAATGAGCTACCCTATTGTTCCCCCGACCTATGAATCGCACACTAAACCCACGATGAATGCGAAAATAAAGAACTATCTCTTCCAACACAGCACCCAACCGACTATCACATGTATCCCCTTGATTAATCTTATCAATAATGACCTTCGCATCGCCCTCAAACCGGACCCCAGACAAACCATACTCCAGACACCACATAATTGCCTCTCGAAGCACCAGCAACTCCACCACGGCAGGGTCATCCATTTGAGGGAACTGCACCCCTCTTGCCATAAGAAGTGTCCGTTCCCCCCCCCCCCCCCCCCCCCGGCCGAATGCGACCCGCTCCTTGTGGCCCCATCCCACATGCAGACCAACCGCACCACATCCCCTTGAGCAACAGACGGAGTCACCTCCCTAGTCATCCTAGGACTTGGTTCTGAGGGCAAACCCACCCATTCCTCATACTGCTGATGAAATTGACGCATGAGCGCAGGGATCCCAAACTGTTTGCCTTCAAAGACAACCCAATTCCGGGACCTCCAAATTCGCCAAAGGATGGCAACCACAGCCATAAACAAAGGAGGTTGATGGATCAAGGCCAGCAGCCGCTTGAGAAAAAAAAGGGAAGGTATGACGAGGCAATCTCTCCCCCAAGTATTCCAACCCAGAGTATTCCCAAAAGGCGCGAGCAACCGGACAATAAAGGAACAGATGTTCCATCGTCTCCGGACTATCCCAGCACACTGGACATCCACTAACCAGTAACAAAAAAAAATTGATTAAATACCGACGAAGCTAAAGCCTGAATAAAGGCTGATTAACGGCAACGGCTACAAAATTGCTCAACGAAAGGGGAAACGTGTAGCTTTGTGGCCGCCAAAAGCTAAAGAAAAAGCTTGCTCATTTGTTTGTTGACTTTTGATATCCAAACTCCAAACAATGATTAGTATCTTATTATGAGGTCCCTTCCTTACTTATCAAAATTTGAAATATTAAGCATTAATATTTACTCACAGAGAGCAACGGTGAACTGTGTTACACTCTATTTAGACTCTTTAAAGATGTTTATAGTATGAGGGTATGATGAAGTTTATTTAATCATATTTTTTGTCACTCAATTTATTTTTATTTTAAACGCAATATACAAGTTTGAGTTTCGGTAGTCATTATGTAGACACAATTAAAAAAATAATATTCATTGATAGTTGTTAATTTACTTGTTAGATTGAATTTGTTTTTGTTTCAAATACAAATACAGATCTACATAAATTTGATAACACTGGATTCATAACGGGTTTGATCTTTGTTGTTTCCAACCAATAGTTCATCCTTCGTAAAGCAAATCAGTTCGTGATTACCAGAATGTACTCTGATTCAACAAAGGCCAAATGAGTTCATTATCTCAACCCCTTTGGTGCAAGCAACCTTGTTAGCACAATGCATGTTCGTATGTTTCGTTACAAAAATACGAAAAATGATACAAAATTAACCTAGAAAGACGATAATGTAGCCGTTATCATATCATGTTCCTCCACAGAAAGCAAAGCATGGGAAAAGGCCCAACCAAGCTTTACCGAAAAGCAAGCTTCACCACCTTTCCGAATTTTGAAATTTGAGGCCCGTCGGTCCGTCCATCCTTTTCAGCGCGATCCCGTTGTTGTCTCTTCTGTTTACATTCGATTCGGACCAGTGCTTTCAAAACTCAAAATTGGACCACTTCGCCGGTGGAGCGAAATAAAATTTAGCCACTTCGAACCAATCCACTCAAATTATGGGCCCTGCATTTATAGCTACACCTCCCTTTTCTAGCCATCCCTTTCTATATCTGACACTGGACTTAAAGCCCAAAACCCTTACCGAACTTTTTTCTTTGGGGTAGAATTATGAGCCTAAGTCTTGCCATCTCAATGGGCCACTTTCTAGCTGGGCAGTACAATTTGATGTGTGCTTGTGCCTTCCCCAACTTGGGTCCGTGTTCTCATGGGCTCAGAACTCACGGCCCAAACCTCCTCGATAAGAAAGTACTCAACTGACGACCGACAACCGGCAATCACAGCGGCTTCCAGGCGCCCATTGCACTGCCAGGTACCGGTACCTCAATATTCATACGCCGTCTTAGACTAATACGGGTCGGGGTGGATAATATTTGCGGGGCGGATCGACCAACTCTTACATACTATTTGAAAGCAATACACTTAAAATTTTACGATAAAATATTGGAGAAAAGATTTCGTGAATGAATAATAGTGATAATATAATGAGTAATTGAGTTTATCTATTTGAAAGATCAAATCTAACTAGTTGAAGAACATCCAAAATATGAGATATATGAATGGATGATGTAAGAAACGATCCTATAATAGGACGGGACGGGTGCAAGTCGAAAGTTAATGCTCATATCCTTCCCCACGCAACTGCAAATCGCCTGTTTCATCGCAGATCAGATCGGATAATATCCAGACAAGACGGGTTCAAATCGCCATACCTACTCACAGCTCACTCCGCCGCCCAAAACCCAACAAACGAAAATTTGATCCACCGAAAAAAGAAAAATCTGAAGGCGAAACGTAGAACGGTAGAGAAGAATGTATTCAAACCGAAGCCAAGATGAGCAGTCCCCTGCCTGCAGCCGGAACTCCCCTGAGTTCTTCACCTTTTTAATTCCCTCCAATTCTTCTTCTTCCTCTTCCATCGCCTACGTCGAATCGTCCGTTACTGAAGAACGAATGAAGGTAAAAGTTAAATCTCTTTCGAATCCTTGTTTTTATCTTCCATCATCAGCTGTGCATCTGTTTCGAACTTCTTCGTTTTCTTTTGGGGGAATCGCCTCTGTTCGCTTTTCTCCGCCCTTGATCGAGTTCTGGTTTTTTTGCTATCTGGGTAACGCGATACCGGGTGATTCCAATTTACCATCCTTGATTGGATTCGTGACTTTGTTCGCAAATCTGCAAGCTTTTTGTATGTATCAATCAAGTTCTTTATCGTTTCCATTGAGCCAATTCGATTTCTGTTGCTGGGTGCTGACGGTTCTGTATTGATTTTCTCCATGGTTTATTCGATTGACCTTTGGCTAATCTGAATGAGCGGGTTTACTTGTTTGCTGTGATAATTCTGTTCACAATTCGATCCTAATGGAATGTTGGTGAATTTGATCTTATCAGGCGGAATTTTGTAAACGAGCCGAGAGTAGAGGACTTTTGGAATATACTCCTGATTTGATTCTTCCGGATCAGTGGATGATCATCGACCATACTGGTGTTTGCTGTTCTTCTGTGTCTACCGATGTGGCCTTTGCATGTTCTGTTCAGCAAGTTACTCAATGTAGAAGCTGTAGAAGATGAAGTTATAGATGGTTTAGTCAGGAAATGGGAAGACAAAGAATTGTCCCTATCACACTTTGTTAAAGTAAGTATTGTACCATCAGACTTGTTGAGAATTTGTTTTTACACTAGGGAGTCTGTACCTTACCTGTCCTGTCATGGTTGAATACAGGTGCTACATATAAACCAGCTTCACTCTTGGGATTGTGGTCTGGCATGTGCTGGCTGCTGCTATGGTTTTGAATGCAACTGGTGTCAATGATTGCAGCATCCATGCTTTAGCAGACATGTGCTGCACAACTAGGTATGATTATACTATGTTTAATCAGAGATTTTATTATAGCATAATAACAAGGTTCTTCCTTTAGTTTTTCATCCCTTAGCTAATTACCAAATTTCCAACCAATTTAAGGGGTGTTTTGGAATTGGAAGTCTGAAGATCTGTTTCGGGAAGGAAGCCTTTTTCTTCAATTTGTTCATGTGGATCTTTATAAGCTCCAATTTATACAAATCAAACTCTGTGATCTAGTTGATGAACCAAATTTCGAACTTCAAAATTTTAGGAAGAATGAGAGAATTTCATCCAAATGCTTAGAAGAAGTGTGCAAGTCGTTCGGAACGGACGAGGATCTTACTGTGGTGAGCTTTTTATCCTTTTCATCCCACCACCAAAGAAATCAAATCTTCCATGTCCAGTGTCTAGTCAGTGAAGTGGCTAACAAGTTCTCGCCTGGGTTCCATTTCTTCGAGCAGATATCTCTGGAGAGCAGCAACAAACAGAAGAACTGTTGTTGGAGGAAAATTCCTCCTCCTCCACTCATCAACACATAATAATTCCATTGACATGTCATTCTTCGGTGTTAACGATGAACAAACAAACAGGTTGGTACCAAAGTCCAAAGCACATGTGATCTGTCCATATGATAAACCTTTCCCTTTTGGCCACTTTTTAAGCACAGTTTTGCTTTCTTCACTTTTTTCTGTTACTCGTATGTATGCCCATAAGCAGAGCTGTCAAAATGTAACCCGACCCGAGTAACCCGCCCGATCAACCCGACCCGCAACCCGCCCGCAACCCGATTTGACTAAAAGTCAATGACCCGTAACCCGCCCGACCCGCAACCCGATCGACCCGCAACCCGACCAACCCGCAACCCGATCGACCCGCAACCCGACCAACCCGCAACCCGATCGACCCGTAACCCGATTAACCCGAAACCCGACCAACCCGCAACCTGACCAACCCGAACCCATAACCCGACCAACCCGCAGCCCGACTATAATAGAAGGAATTCGATGAAGATAAACCAAAAGTTGACATTTGAAATTCTAGTTTACTAAAGTCTGATCATTACATCATCAATTATTGACTTAGTATAATAATATACATCATCAACCTATTAACACATATAATATCATCAAATATTTATTTAGATACATCATCAACCTAATAGTGCACATTAATTTTTTCATCTTTTCCACCAAGAACAAGCTTTATTTTGTGTTCCCAATTGCCATTAAATTGATTCACATAAAGTCTGAGTAGATAAGTAGAAATCCTTGGAGGGGTTATCAACATTTTAATTGATGTATATAAATAATATATATAGATAACACACATACATATGAAAAACATAATTGACTTAATTAAGCCAATCATACAAATACAGCAGTATCTTTTCAAATGTTAATAGTTTATGATCTCTGCCTCTTTCCTCTTTCTGGTTCAGTAGGTTAACTCTTATTTTTCACAATCTAAAACTTTTTCAAATGTTAATATACTCAACAAGTTAAAGATCTAACAAATTGATTTGGTGGACTAGTTGGCTTTTGTGATAGTCTTTTATATATATATATATAAGGGTGATATAGATTTCTTTTTTGCGATTTAAGGAACTACTTAGGGATCTGAACATGGGACCTCCAGGTTCTACCGTTCTAGGCTAGTGGTATTACCACTAGGCCAAACCCTTGTTCGTTTTGTGATAGTCTTTGCAATTCAAGGTTCTCGCCTAAACTTGACTTAATTAAACTTGGCTGCAACTTACAACATTTATTTATAAATAAGAAATCATTGAGACACTTGAATCAAAATCTAACTTACAATATGTATTTATAAATAATAAATCATTGAGACACTTGAATCAAAATCTAAAATGATTTCGGGTAAGGAATCTTAGGATGAGGACTTATGTTTTTCGCAATAATATAAATCTAAAATTGACATAACCTACGTTCTACCAACAATTTCATGACATGTAACAAGAGTTTAGGGTTTAAAGTTAATGCATAGGGTATACGGTCATGGTTTAGAGTTAGGAGGATTAGGGCGTATGTTCTTCACAATAATCAAATATAAAATTGAATTAACTTACATTTTTCACATAACGTACGTTCTACCAACAATTTCGTAACATATAACTATAGTTCATTGTTTAAGGTTAGTGTATAGGGTATATGGTCAAGGTTTAGTGTCTTTTTAAGCTAAAAACATAAAGAAACCTAAAATAAAAGAACATAGGATGCTCATATGGATGGTTTGTTATGAACCTAAAATCATAGGCATACAATAAATATTTATTGTAATTTACATCAACCACCCAACAGCACCCTCTCAACTTCCCCTCCACGTCAATGTACATATACATGTCTTTCCACCACAAAAACACAAGTCCTCCAAAAGCAACAACAATCATCCAAATTGATAGGAACAACGAGCTTTGCCACTAAAAGTCACTCTACGTTACCTTCAATGTAGATAGCAGCAGATTGATGTCAGCTAACAAGTACAAGAAACTAACAGCTCTTGGAACAAAAGTGTGCTGCAGCACTTACCATTCTGTCAAAGCTGGCTCGACCTGTCCCCAAGTCCCAACTGTCTGGTACAAGAATAGACGGATTCCATCATCCAATACTATTTTGTTTCCATGTTTACCTGGTTACCACAGAGCAAAGAGTTACAACCCAAATGCAGCAGCCGAGCTCAACAATGGAAGAGACTCAAAAGTTGTATTGTGAAGCTGCATTATCATTGGATTCCTCAAATTCCCATTTCGGAGTTCCTTTACTGTATGAGGGCATTGTCCAAGCAACGGGGAACTTCAACAAGAGGAACTGTAATGGCAACGGTGGCTTCTCTGCTATTACTCTGCTGCTGCCTGCTCTGTTGTTTGGTGAGGAAAGCATTTTCTACCACATCGTTGGTAGAAGATAAATTCCACTCTTCCCCAACTATATAATAATGAGCGATTTTCTTCATTTGGGGCAAGTCCAGAGCAATTCCAAGAAGTGGCCCTTACAATAGGCTGCAATTTTGGTTTTTTCTGGCCCAATAATGGCTCTTGTGGGTCTACTATTGGGCATAGTATGTTGGGCTTGATGAGCTTGTTTTTTTAGCTATGAGCTTAGTTTTTTTAGCTATAATCAAGCTGAGATCAAGCTTGAGTTGAGAAAATCTCTGTAAAGCTCGAGTCTGAGCTAAGTAAAAGCTTGGCCCAGTTTAGCTATAATCACGGGGAATTATTTATCAGTTTTTTAGTCTTCATTTTCCGTGATTAATCACGGTAATTCGTGTGAACTTTTAAGAATTTCTTTATAAATTATTTTTTTCAATTTTATGAGGGATAAATTCTTTTTGCTTAAGATGTATTTTGGTTCCAAAATTTTTATCTTTAGTAGAATTGGCTCCAAATTTTCATTTGCTCCATCGACAACGTAACCGCCTATTTTCTAAAATTTGGGCCGCCAAGCGCAAAAGAGACTTTGGTTCCAAATATTTTTTGGTATTTGGCTCCAAAATTTTCATTTTTGGTAGAATTGGCTTCAAGTTTTATTTGCTCCAGCGGCAAAGTAGCTGCCTCTTTTCAAAAATTTTGGCCACAAAGCGCAAAAAAGGAAAACCTTAGCTCTCAAAAATTTTGGCCCGCAAGCCTCCAAATTCCAAACACACACTCGCTCTTTCTCTCTCTCTTTCTCCCTTCCCCGTACCTATCCTCAACTCAGCATGAAGATTTGAGAGTTTATTGGTATTTAAGCTAGTTTATAAATCTTGTATCAGCATGATGATTTGGATAATTCTATAGATGATTTCAATTTTGCTGGTGTTCATGCTACAAGAAAGATTATTTTCAATTGTGTTGATATTTGTTTTATTGACGCTAATCTTATAACTTTGAGTAGTGATTCCTTTTTTTTTTTTACAAGTATTATGCTAGCTTCATATAGTTACGATTTACGACTTACTAGTAATCACTAAAAACTAACGCGATGTTCTGGTCTGTAAAACCCGTAACCCGAACCGCCCGACCCGCAACCCGATTAACCCGCACCCGATTGACCCGTAACTCGATTGGCCCGCAGCCCGATTGGCCCGCAACCCGATTGACCCGTAACCCGAGTAACCCGCAACCCGATCAACCCGAACCCGATCAACCCGCAACCCGATCGACCCGCAACCCGACCAACCCGCAACCCGAATGAACCCCGCCCGAACCCGCCCGAACCCGCCCGATTGACCATAAGAATTCATACAGATAACGTCCAAAAATGTATTTGGGAAGTGAAGTAATGTACAAAAAAGGAGAAACAAAATAAAAGAGCAGATGCCTCTGATCATGATACCGGCTACAGTCATGTCGCTGTTGTGCTGTGCCATATAATACCAAAGACGAATCTGATTCCGTGAGGATTCTTTGAATCCAAACCCCAATTGGTGTGCTCTTTTCAGTTCCTCTGTTATTTTATGTTGTGTTATCCATAGGGGTGTCAATTTGGGTTCGGTTTTTCAGGTTTACCCGAAACCGACCCGATTATATACATTTTCAGTTTTTCGGGTTCGTCTCGGGTTTTGGGTTTTTCGGTTTCGGGTTCGATTTTGCTTATCGGTTTTTCGGGTTCCGGCTAAAAACCTCCAACGAATAGAACTCAGCCCGTATTTTAGGCGTTCGGATTTTCGGGTTTCGGTTTTCCTTTAACCGAACTCGAACCCGATAAGAAATTTTCGGGTTTCGGGTAACCGGAACCCGCAAGTCCTTGTCGGGTTCGGTTTTAGTGATTTTGGTTTTGGGTTTTCGGGTTTTTTCGGGTTTCGGGTTGGGTAATCGAACCCGAACCGAACCGACACCCCTAGTTATCCGTTCTCCATTTAGTTCAGGGCCTGGCCGACATAGGGGTTTCTTTTTTGTTTGATGAGGATACTAAACCGACTAGGATGCTTTTAGTTTGTTTGAGAAATTGGGATTAACTGTTTCTAATCATGTTAGTGTGTTAGGACACCTAATTACGAAGAATTTTAGCATCATGGTCCAACTAAGATCCAGTCCTGGTTGGAAAAGAATTCAATGATGGACCATATAT